TGGCACAGGGACAAATACAGAACCCGGTTCTCTGAATCCTAAAATTAGAGTGTGGTCTCATTTCGGCCTATCTGTTTGGTCACACAGGGTGGATGATGCTTTTCTGAGGTGCATGAGCACTAGTAAACACAGCACACACTTTGAAAGGTTATCAGCAAGCATGAATTCAAAAGAACTGGTTCCTCTAATGCCCTCAGCTCTCTATTTAGAGACAAAAGAGAAATAGTTACCCTGCAAAAGTCTGTGCGAGTCCCCTGGGAGACGTTTTGTGCAGCTGTGCACAGGGCTCTGCCCTGTTTCACACACGCACCTCGGAGCATCTTATCGCTCCCTCCCTTCTCACGGCACCTAGCGATATTTCCACAGACTAGAAGATCTTCYAACCAGGTTCTTTGTGAAGGGGAAGATTCTCCCCCTGCCTCCCCCCCTTTTTTTTTAATTCTATAGAAATATATTTTTAAAAAATAGGGATATATGAGTGGAGCATTTTGTGCCCTTTGGAGATAACCTTTGTGTGTTTCCAGCTATCCAGATGCTGCCAGAACGAAACCGAAGGGAACAGAACATCTTGTATTGTTCACATTTAATACGCGCCCTGCCGTCACTTTCACTGCTTTCACTTTCTTTCTGCAGCCGCTCTGATTCCAGGGAAGAGCTCTTCATTCTCAGAGGTTGTACTCTCTGGGTGGCAGTAGTGTTGTCTGCTGTCATGGGGAAAAAAAGTCTCATTTATCGGCCAGCAAAACATAGAGAGTCTACAGCTCTACTGAACCTTCCTGAATTAAGCTATCTGAATCTATATATTTTTATATATATATACCCACAGATTGTAACCTAAACTTCATTTTTTTCTAGTACTTCTTTAAAGATAAATATCTCTACAACATTTAGTACTTTCTCTAGTATCTCCTTGAAAATAAACCAATGATATGAACTTCCTCCTGCAGAGTCTTAYGGAAAGGCTTACCTCTTAGCAAAATACATTTTGCAGAGGAGTGTACAGCTGAAATTCAGTATGACTTGTCCCATTTTACAGATACTTCAGAGACAGCTACCTGCTTAATGAAGTTTGACTACTCGTGAAAAACCCAGCTGTATCTGTACTCGTGTGACTCTCTCTTCCAGCGATGTCTCTCTTAGGAAGTGGCTCCTCGTGCGCTTGGCCACAGGCTGCTCTTGTCGTGGTTCTGGTGCAGCAGGCTGTTCTGCAGCGTTGCTGGAGGCTCCGAGCGGGCGAYGCCGGCCTGCCCTCGGCAGCTCTTATGGGCCGTTCCTCCACGGCGCTTTTCCTCTGAGTCACGTCTGCAGGATTAAGACAGTTTATAGCTTGTCACGGAGGAGATTCCACCATGTTTTTTCCTGCTATCCAGTTGCAGCAAAAAAAGGCCGAGTGGACAGCAGAGCTAGCATGACTAGTACAATAAATAATCCTTCAAAAGTGGGCAAAATAATCGGTTCATAAACTGTGCTGTCACAGCATCCTGTGGACCACCCCTGTTGCTCCTTCCCGGCTCCCTCGTGGCCCTTCCAGGCCTCTGTTTYGGAGAGGCCCCACCAGGCCCACGTCTCCCCTTGTCCCCCCGCCAGCCGTGCACGCTCTGTCTTCTCCTTGCAAATGCTCCTGAGCTGAGGTTCAYGTCTCGCGTGCTTGGCCACATCTTGCAGTGTCATTTTATTAATACCTTAAAGCCATCAACCACTGAGAAGACAACGGCCCCTCAGCCCGGCTCCCCTCAAGAAAGAGGGAGGCGACAGGAATGAGCAGGAGAAGGGAAATGAGATCCTGAGAGGTGTTGGCCTCGACTTCCTCCTAGGGCACGTGGCCGAGAGTTGTGGTTTTTGAGACGAGTTGTCCTTTTAAGAATGGCAATTGTTGGCAAAATGAATTCCTGGTTGGTCGGTAGCCCTGCTTGCACGTCTGAAGGATTCCTCCCTTGCTGCAGGGTGGAAACCTGGCTCCTGGTGCCCTGGCTGCACTCRCAGGCATCGAAGGTGGCTTTGGTGATTATGGTTTCCCTCCCACCATGGGGAGGGATAAATATGGGATATTTACAAACCAGAAGGGGAAAAAAAAGAGTATTTTCAGCCTAATGTCAGAAAGCTTGATTCCACCATGGGTCTATGGGAGTAATGGGTGGCTTTTTGTGCCCTCTCCAAAGAGATGCTGTAGGTCCATATAGTCCAAGCTTGAAGCYGTGAGTTAAAAACAGGGAAGCTTCATTAGTACCTCTGGGTTAAGGAGTTCCTGCCTTTTCCCTGCTGCTGCTGGGTCTTGCTGCCATCTTCCCCTCTCAGCATTGTTCCCCAGCAAGGGGTCTGAGAGGGAAGCCAGTGGGAAATGGGCACTTTGGCAGCTCCCCAGGTGCTGGTAGGAGAGGGTTTGTCCCTCTACAAACACACAGGCACCTAAACGTACCTTCTGGCCCTTGGCTGTGGATCCGAGCGGGAAGTACAGTGTTAATGTACAGAAATGAGAGAGGCGTATAGGTGCTGCCTGTTTTATAGGCCTGCCTGAGATTGTAAATGTTAATGTTTCCTTCTTCTGGAAAGGGTCAGCTATTTTTGCTTTTCACCTTTCTGCTGGGTAAACACTAGCCAGAAGCCGAAGTGAAGGGACTTGGCACATCTACTGTTTGGTATGGCTCACCTTAGTTCCTGGCGTTATGCGTGTGCTTCATAATTCATACATTCTTGGTGTTAAGTGCTGGCCAGTGGTACTTTGTGAGCCTTTACTGTCTTCCTTAGAGGATTTCAGGGGGTTTTGCAAACTGAACTACTTTTAATGGCACAAAGTGGTTGTCCTGTTAGTCACTGATGTCTTTAGATTCTCTCATATGAAGCTACCAGGAAAAGTTAAAGTAAAAAAGCAGTAGCAGAATAGCTATGGGAGTAGGACTCTCAACTGCATTTTAGCCCCCTGTTGCTTTAGGAAAGCTGAGAGGAAAGGTGGGAATTCAGATGTGAGGCATGAGGAGTCTGCTTGCCCTGTGCCCTCTTCCAGCAGGGACACTCCAGAGGCTTCCCTCCTTCCTTCCCTTGAACTCCATAGGGTTTTACTGTGCAAGCCCTCCTCAGAGTGGCCTGCTGAGAGAGGAGAGCATCCTCGCTGGTTTATGGCCCTGTTTGAGACTGTAAATCTTGATGCTGTGCTTGTTAACTGTGTTGGTACAGCCTGAATAATTTATGCAACAACATCATGCCTGCCATAACCCAGAGAGGAAAAAGTGGCAGTTTAACCCTGGCCTGTTTTTCCTTCCATGCAGTCGTTTCTAATGAGGTGCATTAACTCTCCCTTCCCCGTGTTGCCCTTGTGGAAGGCAGTGCTGGGATCAAGGCGGCCGGGGCTGCTGCGGGCGCTGCACGAGCACCCCGCGCCCGGCACATCCGGAGCGGGCTGTGGCCCTTTCATTGCACTCAGACCGTTACTAGCTACAGGTGACTCGGTATTTTCAGTTGCAAAGGAGCTGCTCACATGCAACTGTCAAAAAAGAAAGCACGTTTCAGCTCAGTGCTGTCGTGCAGAAGAGGGGCCTGGGGTTTCTGCAGCTGAGAGGAGCGTGGGGTCCCCTCTGGTCATCAGCGGTGTGCYGTGTTCACCCTCCGAGCAAGATGCTCCTCCAGAGGAGGCCCACGGTTGCATCATCAAGGGTTATTTTTAGTTGGATTTGGTTTTGCTTTCAAATAAGCAGGTCTTCAGGGCTGCTCTCTTGCAAATCCGTCCTGTGCTGGTCACTTGTGGTGCATGTGGTGTGACCTGGCGCGGGCGATGGTGCCGTGAGGTGGCAGCAGCAGCAKCTGTCCCCAGGAGGCTCTGCGGCTGAGCACGGAGCATCCGCAGGGATCRGCATCCACAGGGATGCGCTGGAGCAGCCTCTGCCCGATGCTTTCTTGCCTGCTGAAACACAGCGCTTTGGCACGGAGGAGCTTTGACTTCTTCCCGGGTCCGCTGCCCCGAGCGGGATTTCTCGCCACTGCCTTGGAGATCCCGTCTTCCCTCTTGGCTAATTGCTTCATTCAAGTAGGCTTGAAATTGTGTCTTAGGGGCTCATTAGCAGAAAACAAGACGTGTCCCACTGCTGAGCAGGAGCTCTCGAACGTTGAATTTTCATGGTTATACATAGTGTTTCCAGGAACTGCGCCAAACTGCACATATATTTAAAGAAATTACATGAAGAAATGAATCTAAAGTGACCGTTGCTAGTTCGTGCCTCTTCCTTGACAGATGAATAGAAATGTACTTTTGTTTTTAGTACGTTGCCATTTGCATTCTCCAGCTTCGACCTGCCTCGAGCAGGCGGGCCACGGCACCGGGTGACGGAGGAAAGGCAGCTGGTGCTCACAGGATTCCTAGGGAGAAGCGGCGCCCGCTTTGCCGTGGCTCGGAGGGCAGCTGCTCCCGCGGGGATCCGGGGCTTTGCAAGGGGACCCAGCACTTGGTGGGGTCGGTTTTGTCACGTCTGAAAGGGACCTGAGCACTCACAAGCATTTTCTAARCTGTCATGGAAGTTCTTGGTCATTGGAGGGGGGAAATGTGGGAAAGGTTGAGGCTGCAACTCTGGTGACCAGCTCCGCACAATGATAAGGAAAATGCTACTGTGTTTACTGAGAAATCACACAATTGGCTGTTAAATTCTCTGAATATATCAAAGAGCCTTATTATTGTGCTCAGGTTTTAATTCCCTATTATTTTCAGGAAATACATGTCCTCAGAGCAATGAGAGGAAACTTTGAACGCTTTTCTTCCTCTTGTGCTGGGTGTGGGCTTAGTGCTGCCTAATTGTTAGTCTGTCTGAAGCCTGAGCTCCCATAGGAAAAAAGAACAAACCCATTTACATTTGTGTCATTGCTGTGTGCTTTCAAATATGCAGCTTAGACTGTTTTTCTTTTTTTTTTAAGATCAAAGGTGACAAGAAAAGCAGAGCAGAGAAGTGCGGAATGATGCAGAGAACACAGATGTAAAGAACAAAGGAAAGAGGAAGGAGCCGAACCTGGTGTAGTGGGGAGAGAAGAAGAAGCCTAAATGCAAGTACTTGAATGTGGAAATGATTCTCTGCAGGCTGCTTAACGGGAGGTTAAAGTGGTGCTTTGATCTGCACGTAGGGGTGGCTGGCACTTTTGTAGAGGTGCCCGACATAGGTTAATATGTTTAAAATTTTCTGTGTCAGGTTCAATACTTTGGACTCTCTGTCGATAATTTACAGGTCTAAACACGGAAATGGCATCAGGGTCATGTGTATGTGTGTGAGAGAGAGAGACATAAAAAAAGTTAGTTTTGAGACTTAACTGAATAATATAATGTGTCCTGGTGCAGCTGAGATGCCTGTRGAGCACTGACTTCCTAGCCAGGCAGTATTGAAATGTGCAATAGCAGCTAAAGGGAACAGTGATTGGGTTGATCAGAGAAAGCTGAAGAGGGCACTTCTGCTCAGCTAGAACCAAAGTGGTCTCATAAACTAAAATATATTAAWTWAWWTWAWTTATTTTTTCAAAATTTATTTTAAAATATAAATAAATAAAAGATATTTTATAAATAAAAGATATTTTATAAATAAAAKATATTTTTCATAATCTTAGTCAAATTCATGGGACAAAAACAGGCATTTGAAGATCCTGTAGTTAGTAGATACAGTGTTTTAGCTGGTACAATGGTGTCTCATTTTTAACATTTTTTTTTCTTGGCAAAAAATCCACCCATCCTGTGCATATGCAAGTGCTTGGCCCCAAAAGAGGTCCCTCTAGGAGCTTAGCTGGTTTCCTTTGGGCCTCCAGTAGGCTGCCTCCATGAGCAGCAGAGCCACTTTGAGTCTTCAGTTAAAAGGGTTGACTGATAGAAGCTGTACCAGAAGACCATTTTCTGTGACAGAGAGGGTTTTTTCATCTCACTTGTTCTTGACACAAAGTCAGCGTCACGTATGTGGTTATTACAGGACTGCAAATCTTCAGTAAGTTTGTCTGTCTGTCTCTCGGGCTGAGAGTCTGCCTAGAAGACAAGTAACGTTGTCCCCTGTTGTGTCCAGCTCCTTCCAACACAGGTAAGGATGCCTGTCGAGAGAATGCGGATGCGCCCATGGCTGGAAGAGCAAATCAATTCCAACACGATACCAGGGCTGAAATGGCTAAATAAGGTAAGGTCCGCGTGCCTCCCGGCCAGCGTTTTGCGACGTGCGTGCTCTATAGCAAAGTTTGAGTTTGGGCTAAGTCAGTCAGGGTTTGTGATTTTCAAAAGGGCAGCGCAGGGAAGAAGGGCAAAGCTGAATGCTTCCTGCTGAACCTGTTCTTCTGGCCTTACCTTGCAGATTGGAAGTTCTCCATATTTGCCTGTTAGATTTGTGGCTTGTTTGAAAACATTTTTCCTCCTTCAACTCTTTGTTGTTACAACAGCTGTTCTGAAGACTCCGTTAGGTTTTTAAGTTGGGAACAAATTACTCACCAGGCAGTGTCAGAAGAATTTGAACAAATACTCTTCTGAGGTGGAATAGTATATTTTTCATTATCTTCTGAGTCCAAGTGATCATTTGCTCTTTCAGTCATATGTGAAATCTCTGATATGCCTCAAAGCAGTGGACCTGGGAGAAAACAGGGTAACTTTTCCTGTACGGGATCCAAATCTAGTGCTTTCTTGTCTGGAACTCTTACTGAAAGTTTTAGACACACAGATAACATAAGCTTGGACTCCAAAATGTCAGCACTAGTTAAATTATTTTAATTGGCGTAATAAAACAGAGTGTTTAGTCTAGTTAGTCTAGTGTCTTGTCTCCACTAGTACTTGTGATGCTCAGGTAATCATTTTCAGAACTGAAGAATGACATTCAGATATTCTTTATCTCAGCTTTGCAACCAAGAAATTTTAGTCACCATAAAATTATCCTGAGTCCTTTAAATTTCAGCTGCACAGTTTGTTTCTCAGGAACTTCCTGCATCGGTGACTTTTGCATGCTGTGACTGGGTAAATAAATATTGCTTTATCCACTCCCAAGTTAGCTGCCCTGCAAATTTGAGTAAGTCCTTGTTCTTGCATAATGGGGTCACAGTTAAAAAGGAGGAAGAGACTAGTTTTAACTGTTGTCTTTGTAATTTGAATACCATGTTCAGGTCCCGACAGATTCTAGCTCTGTGTCAGTTCTCTCCTGTTGACAGCCYATCTCTAATGTCCTTTCCAGGATAATTTTGATACTTCTGTTTTTCTGATTCTGAAATAGTTTCTCTGTGCCTGTTAGGACACAGTATTGTAGTTTCAGTCTTACTGTTTAATTAATCGTCATTATTTTTGCAGATTACTTAACCTTTCCCAGTCCACCCCAGAAAGGTACCTGCTGCCTTTGCTGTGCAGCGCAGAGTGCTGCAGTGGCAGCAACAGGCTGCCCCTGTGCCAAGGGCTTCATTCTCCAAGCTCAAGTTATAAAGGCATTTTGCAAAGCATGTTGTGTTGTGCAATGCTTACCACTATGCTGATCATAGTGTTACAGCAGTTTCTGCCTGGTCCTTCTGGCATGACATTTCACACACAAGAACTTATTGGAAAGTTTTGTCTGTAGTTAATATTCCCTATATTGACTGATGCTTGTTTTAAAAATACGATACTTTGAAATTGGATTTTTTTTTTTCGAAAACAAAGCCTACCAGAGGGGGGAGGATCCCAGGCCAAATGGCCTGCGTTGAGGTTAATTAAGCTCAGTCTCTACTCCCACCCTCAGATTTGACAGCCCCTCTGAATTGCCTTTATTGTGCTCAACAAGCTAATTTCACTTCTAAGTGCTGCTCTTTAAAAATGCCTCAAAGATTTGTTCCAGCAATGAACTATTAAACCAGAAATACTTCTATTTTTTTTTTAATTTAAGTCCCAGTCATAAGCAAGGCCATGCGTGGGATCTGTGAGAAAGTATCATGTGCATCACAGCTTTGTGCACACACAGAACTGCCTCTGAAAGCAGTGTGGTGATCTCAGGASTTGTGTTTTTAAATCAGAGCTTGGCGTAAATCAGTTTGTGGTGAAGAGGAATGTGTGTCAGATTGGAAGGAGAATGGCATTTCTGTGCACGGCTTTTGAAGAAATATAAGTGCTACAGGAAATAATATTATTCTAAGTTTCTCATGGGGAGAATGAGGAAGTAATGGGACTCACAGCATTCTAAGTTTCTCTTTTGGGGGGATTTTTTTTTTCTTGGTGATTTTCCTATATGAGGAGGGAATTAAACCTCACAGTTAAATGACAAGGCAGGTAAGGGCAGATTTATCTAATCCCTTCCTCTGCTTGTTCTGTACTGCACTATTAAATGTTTTCCCCTCCAGAACAGACTCCCCTGCATAAGGCAGGAAGRAAAAATGATCAGATATTTGTGTGCCTCCCAGGTGAAAATTTTATCCTGACCTGAGGGAGGAAGGGAATTTGTTCACCTCCCCAGAGAGAAACACCTGGGAGCCATGAAGGAAATTAGGTAGTGGTTGARGAGTAGGGTGAAGGGAGGTTAGTGTCCCTCATGGATCTGCATAAGGATGTTGCAGTGGAAACTTTCAGAGTAGCTGCAGGGGCTGCAGAGAGGGAATCTGCTGCTGTGATGGCTGTCCGGGCTGTCACCATCAAGATGGTCCCTACTTAAAATTTGTCCTGTGACTTCCAGCTAGTGTGTGATCTCATGCTGCCTGTCCTGCCTGAGGGATTTTGCAGTGTTAGAGTTCAATAGTGTTAATGGTCAATATTGTTTTCCTCTTCCTGCTTGCTTCTAAGAATGTAACACCTTTTCCTTTTGATGTCCCCCCTGGAATTTGGTAGCAATTCCTGTTTTGCTGCACTAGTTCTGTGGGCTGTGCGTTTGGACTTTAGATGAGCCTGATTCCTGAAAGAAACACGGATTCCTGCGTTAATGTCCAGTGCTAAACCACTGTCCAAGACAATGCAAGAYTGAGCAGGTCTAATGCTGTTGTAGTATTCTCAAAACGAGTGGGAGATCACTGCTTCCAGTATGAGCAGCTGCACAGAACTTAATAGAAAGCTTTAAGCCTTGGRATTTGAAAGTAGCCAGCAGTGTGGAGAATGCAGAGAAAAGCCTTGCTCGGGAGCAGACGAATCAACAGCCAGAGCCAGAACGCAGGAGGAGTAGTTCAGAAAAGAGCAGAGGCAAAATAGAGCCTGTCTGTAAATTGGGATCAGGAAAGACGTTGTAGGGGGTTCAGAGCCGGTTCAGGAAACCTGCTGGCACGTGGAGACACTTCCACGTAGCTAGAGGGGGAGCAGCCTCCTCTCATTGCGGGAGGTTSTTGGTTAAAGGGCTCGCTGATGTGTCGAAGATACAGGGGTAGTAAGGACAGAAAGTGCTTCCTGACAGCAGGGCAAGGAGGAGACCGGCCATCCTCTCGGCTTGGAGGGCAAGGAGGACAAGGCATCACATCAGCTCGACCTGGAGCTGCTGCCTGCAGCACGTGGTGTCGAGTTCAGTCATTCCAGCTCTGTGGGTGTTTCTGTGGATTCCCTGGATGAGAGAATCACTGCCCCCTCCATCCTCGTCAGTGAAATGGGGCTCTGCACATGCAGCCGAGTCTAAGGAAAAGTGGTGACGAGTCTTTTCCTAGAAATGCATTATTAGTAAGCACAGACCCAAGGAGGACAGGGGCAAATGGTTGATGTGAGGTCACTTCCTGAGGAGAGGTTTTTGAAATTGAAAAGCAGTGTTTAGGCTGTGGCGTTGATGGCCTTGTGGTTGGCACCGTTGTGGGATTTCAGAGAGGGTAGCTGTTAGTGTAGCTGATGACAGAATCTATAGTTTTTATGTATATACAATTAGGTATACATTAAATTTATAATACAAGAATATATTACTTTTAAAAAAATATATATTATAAATTGCTGTAAATCCTTGTGCTTCAACACATCTGGAGTTATGGAGAACTTTCTGTAATAAATAAATATTTAAACTGCTACTGAAAAGGTCCTTGCACTTCCCTTTGAAGCACTGAGTCCTGCAGACAGTGACAGGGTGCTAAACTTGATGTATTCGGGAGTCTTGTTCAGTTTGGGAGTTGCCATAGTTGCCATTTTGAATTATCATACAGAACATGAAATCAGCAGTTTAGCCTCTGTAGCAATGTGTTCAATTCTCTCCCCATCCCCAAACATGAGAAGACTTTCTAATCTGTTCAGTTCTTGAAGTTCTTCTTGATAGAAATATGGAACTCTATTTCATCCTTTCTATAGTTTTAGGAGATAAGATGCAATAAGGCTTGTTCTAGCTCCGATGAGTATAGTGGTGCTGTGGGACACAGAGCAGTTCTTCCTTTAGACATCTTCTATTTGAGGAAAGAGGAGAGTATCTCTGTAGTATGATCAAATATAGAAAGGAGGAGGAAGGAAGAGGCAAAAGGAACATAAGTGAAGGTAATAGAGTTAGAGAAAGAATTGAGAGCTGGAGAGGGAATAGGGGGGAACGTGTTAAATCTGTGCTCTCACCAAATTAAAGAGAAAGGGGAGTGAGAAGTTTAGAATTGCATTATTTGCAAGTGAATGTTATTGACAGAAAAGATTGCAGAAATGAGCTGAAGGATGACAGAAAATGCAGGCTCAAAAAGTAAAAGATCACAGAGCAGGGAAGGGAAATAAACCCAACCTTGGTATTTAGTGAAATATTAACCAGAGAGACAAGGAAGAGTAGTGGTTGTTGAAGGAAGGGGAAAGGGCAGAGGATTAATCTCACCTGACCTTAGACATCTAATGCAGACTCTGAAATGAGAGCTGYCTGATTAGAGTCCTTTGTAGTGGAGGGGGAGAGAGAGACAGAGAGAGGCATTTTTGGGGTGTGGTTGAGTTAACATGTTAAGGTGAAAGAGGTGAATTGTGCCCTTAAAAGTGCTTTTCTCTTGCTGGCTGTGAAGGGAACCTAGGCAGACTGTGGTGATATTTACAGTGCAAGTTGCCTGCATTTGAAGTCAGATGTTTCCCTTTCCCAAGAAGGAGCTAAAAAACAAGGCTGCAAAACAAATTTGTTTTACATGACTTTGCAAAAATTAACATAGTGTGTCCGGGCCACTATATAGGATTTAGTTCCTGTGTGGTATGACATAAAAAACATCTGACTCAGGATCCATCTAGTTCAATAGCCCATCTTTTAGATGATGGCCTGTACTAAATGCTTATGAGAAAAGTGTAAGACATATGTCAGGAATAATAGTATTCTTCCCCATCCTGTGCTGTTTGAGCTCAGGAAACTGCTGAGCTTCCTGAGCTGGGCTTGCATCACAGAACCATCATCTTTAATAGTAATTTTAGAGATCCTTTTCCTTCACTCTGCTAGTAGGTTACTGGCTAAATTCTAAATCCCTTGAATTAGCTGTGTTCCTAGAGTTGTTTATTTTCATATTTGATGTTTCTAATCATAAAAATATCTGTGCTGCCAAAACCAGCCTTCATTTGAACGTTTTAGAAATGTGAAGCACTGCATGTTTTGTTCATGTGTCAGCTCGGAAAGCTGCCAGCCACGTAGGCCACGAAGGGGCATCCGAGTGTTTCATATGCCTGAAGTTGTGTTCTGCCTTCACAGATGCCAGTGGATATTTTCCTGCTGAGTTCAGTGGCAGCAGCACTGTTAAAAGGAAGCAAAACACTTGCAGATGCGGGAAGTGTGTTTCTGAATAAGTGACTTAAAGTCATCAGAAAATCCCTCAAGTCGATCAGTGTTGGCATTTCCTGTTTGTTTTCCCTTCTAGGAGAAGAAGATTTTTCAGATTCCCTGGATGCATGCTGCAAGACATGGGTGGGACGTTGAAAAAGATGCTCCTTTATTTAGAAACTGGGCAATTCACACAGGTATCAGAACTTTCTGTTTTCAGGACAAAATTCAWTTTATTTTTTTCTTTTTGAAGATACTTTTTCTTTCTTTCATATCCTTGCTTTTAGTAACAAAGAATGAATTTGAGTTGCCAAATCTGTGGGAGGTTAAATGCTTCTTTCAAGGTCCCTGCTTTCCAGCGTCACTGAGGGGCCGTAACTCATTTGCATTGAGGAACACAGTAACACTTAATTGATTTAAACGTTAACAAGATTGGGGTCAAAATTGCTGAGAGTGGAGCATGCTCAGCGCTTTGCAGATTTGGACCCTTAGGCTCTTTATGTGTTTCTGTGGATTTGAGCCAGACATAATAAAGGTAGATGCTGTGCAAGCTTTTCCATGCTGTTGTAGAGCTGCATCTGATCTGCAGTGCCCTACGTCTTTCTTGTGCAGAAGCTGTTAATCGTGTTCTAAAAATGTGCATGAGAATGAGATTGCAGCATTCATTTTTTCCTGAAACTCAAACTATTGATTGAATGCCTGTCTTGAGAACTGAAGGGCTGACATCCTGAAGTTARCTCTTGTTGTGGTTAATTTGCCTTAGGTTTTCCGTTATACACCATATGTACCTAACTTTCTTTCCTTGCTTAGGAAAATACCAGTCAGGAGTAGACAAGCCTGATCCAAAAACATGGAAGGCAAATTTCCGCTGTGCTATGAACTCCTTGCCTGACATAGAAGAAGTGAAGGACAAGAGTATAAAGAAAGGAAACAATGCCTTCAGGGTGTACCGGATGCTGCCACTGTCCGAGAGACCGTCCAAAAAAGGTAGACAAGAGAGTTTGTGAACATCCAAACCGTGTTGGGTAGATTGTTATGACTCTGTCAGTGAAACCTACTGAGGATACTGGGGTTTGCAAATTGTGCTGGTCTTCCTTCAGCAGCTGTAATTATCAGGGGCTTTTGTTCAGATGTTTCTGAGAAGTTCTGAACTTCGTTATGAAAAATGGGCCGTGTCCTACTAAGAACAAGATGCTTTGAGAGAGGATGGGCAGGATGCGGTCCCTCAAAATCGGTGATCTCATGTAAATTGCCTTAGTTTTGTTGAAGCCAGTGGTATTGTGTTTAGATTTCAGTCCCAGGTATTTAGCTTATTTAAAATCTGGGGCTGCAGGTAAGTGCTGGAAAATGGCCACGATTTAATACGAGACAGAGAGTGATACAGTGTAGACAGCTGAAGATTTACARCGTGGCAACCACCGTTAATCTGAATGCTGATAAATTTTTTTCTGAAGGAGGTGTTAATGTGATTGCTGAATTACAGCACAGCTACAGGAAGCTGAGAATACCATGGAGAAGAGCTCATTTATGTTTATCTGTGGTAGCATTTCCAAAAGCACAGTCCCCATTAGGTATCATAATGCAGATGGGTAGCACAGAGTTGTATCTGTCTATTCCCCAACCCTTGGGGAAGAACTGGAGCTCATTTACAGCACCCCTTAAATCAGGGGCGCAGACTAGGGGGATGTCAGAACTCGGTGTATTTAGCACTTAGAGCTCATTTGGAGTCTGGAGGCAGGCGTACTGCTCTGTCTTCCCAAACAGGGGTAGAAATAAACTCATGTGGCTTTGAACCAAGTGAGAGCAGTGAACATTTAAGCAAAGCTCTGGTAGTTACTGATGTAGCTGAACAGCAAATGTGAAGAGCTGATGCTGTGGAAGGGCATGGGGCTGAAGCTGCCATGTGGAGCTGGGAGTGCAATTTCAGCATCTTGGTTTTCTGTACCCAAGTTTGACATCATGGGGATTTATCTCCTTTAAACCATTTTCAGAGTTAAGTACCTAAACTAGTGAAAAAGATTATCCTGTTTGCCCACACAGAACAATCCTAGTAAAGCAGGGAAGACTTGTGTTTAAATCTCCAGCTTAGGTATTAAGTCTCCCACATGCAAGGAGAGGGCCAACTACCAGGTCAGTCTCATAAATAGTTGGTTGCTTGTGAGACAGAAACATTGACTTAGTTCTTTGGACCACAGTGGATGAATGGATTTTGGATGAAAATGTAACTTGCAGTCCAAATGCACAGTGTGGCTATAAAATCTGATATAGGTCACCAAGAGCAAAATAGCACAATTTTCTTTTTTCTTTTTGCTTTTTTTTATTCTTAGCTCAGATCTAAAAGGAACCTCTTAATTTTGGAGAGGAAGATAGGAAACCCTAGCATTTATGAGGCAGAACTAGTCTCGAAAATAAATACCAGTCTGAAGAAAGATTGAAAAAGTTTGCTTTGAAACTGTTTCTGGTCTCTGGACTATGGGGTATTAGGTACATTCAGGCATATTTCCCTAAATCATATTCCACTGTGGTCAGTTCCTCCTATAGCTGTAAGAGATAGAAAAGTTGAGAATGAAAGCTGAGACTTTGGAGCCGTCGTGGGAGCGGGTTCTGCAGCAGGTCCCACTGCATTCAACACACGTCGAATGTGTGGGGCTCAGCCGCCCCAGCGGTGGGAGCTGCAGTGACCCACTGCAGGGCCTGCCCTGGTCACAGCAGTGCCAGGGCCTGCCGAGGAGCACGAGGGGTGTGAGGGCCACCTGGAGCGGGTTTTTCTTTACTTTCTTTATTTTCCTTTCCGTTCTGCATTCTCCAATTCATCAAGGTTCATCACAAACCACTTTGCATGACTTGCAGACTTGTCTGACTCGTATGTGCTCCCCCTTCGCCTCAGGTTGCAACTAGTCACAAAAATACTTGTTGGTAGCAATTGTGATCAGTCTGATCAGATAGTGACTGCTGATAGTGATCTCTTTTTGCACATTAGATCCCAGAACAATCTCCCTTTTCCTGTAGCTACAGTGTCTTTGAAATGTGATAAAACATATATATTGGTTTTTTTCATTAAATTATTTTTTTCCCCCTTCCTCCTTCTTTTCAGGCTTCCTCTCTCAGTTTGTGGCTCTTGAGTTCCAATTTCTTCATATTTTCTGACTGAAATTCTATTGGTCCTATCAGTGCGGCTTTTTTTGTAGCCCTACTAAAATGAAACAGCCACAATGTTCAAGATGAGTCTTCGACTGCACAGGCTGTGAAGTAGGTTTAAAATTAAGCAGGATGCTGTTTCTGTGAGGTGCTGTCCTTTGAGGCACATTATGCTATTTCTTAGCACATATAGAAAATGTGGAGGAGGGAGGATATCTCATTGTACAGAGGACTAAAGAAATCTTCTTTTTGTTGTTGCAGGCAAAAAAACAAAGCCTGAGAAGGATGACAAATTCAAACAAATTAAGGTAAGAAATAACTGTTTAATTATGTGAGAACCTGTTGCAATTTTTTTTAATAGACCCAACAGTATTTTATGTTGGATTGTGTGGATACTTGCAAATCTCCCATGCTTGTGGTTTCTTTCGGTAGCTTCAKTTACATTGGACATTTCATTAAAAATAAACAAAACAAAAACRAAAAAACGTGAAGCCCGTTGCAGCCGTGACTGACGTCATGAGCTGACACAGCCCTTGTGTTGCAGTGCCTTGGAGACTGGAAAACTGGCAGCCTTGGCAATATGTTTGCCATTTGTTTCTGTAAGTAGAAAGAAAGCAATTATGGCAGGAATGCTCCTGAACAATGGGACTACCTTTTGGAGCCATTAATTTGTGTTTGTAGTGTGCTGGAAATTTGTTTCCATTTAGGCAAAATRGAAGTTCTGCCAGAACTGCAGGTTCTGCTCATGTTTTTGAAGTCAGAAAACTCRACTGTAAATCTCATGGGTCAGGATGTGAGGTAGCCACGTTTTCAGAGCATGGGCCCAAACTTGCCTTTGGCTACGAGCCATGGCACTGCCTAGTGCAGCAGCACCKCTTTGAGACGGTCCCTACTAAATCCTGGCCGGACTTGGGCCTGCTTCAGCCTTTTCAGAAATAGTTAGGCTTTCAGACTTCAGGCTTTCAGATAAAGTTTGTGTTCATGGGTCTTTTGCCGAAATTTGGGATTCAATGACTGAACCCCCCAGCCTGTAGCAGTGTGTGCAATAGCAAAGAAACTCGATCCTCTGCTGTTTGCTTGTCAAGGACTGTGGTTCTCACGTCTGAGTGCCGCAGCCCATGCAGGCAGCACTGTGTGGTCTAGGCCAGGTAAATGCTAAGGCTATTTTTGAAAAAAATCCTTTATTAAAACTGGGTTTGGAAGGAAGAAACTCTTCTGACAATGGTGACTTGTATAATTGCATACTAGAATATTTCTTGATTTGTCTGTAACTTAAATTGACTTTAAGGAACCATTTTTTAACCATGGTATCTTGATTTTGTTGTCACCTTTGTTTTATTTGTAGTGTGACTGTGATCATAGCTGTGTTCAGAGGGAGCACTCTTGTTTGTCAGAGCAGGGCAGCAGATGATGCCTGTCACAGCTGGCAGTGCTCGTTGCCATTCCCCCCTCCTTCATAATCTTTCTTTTCATCAAAGTATAAATACCTGAAAAGCCTTAGAGGTGCTTGAACAATCTTGTCCTCTTCATCAAGACTGATCTAAAATACTTATCACTGACATAATTCCACTGCTGCCTGGAGACTTTTATTCTTGGCCTTATGCCTGGGAATAGGTGTCTGTAGGGAGATACCCTTGGCTTTTGGGAGCACCTTCCTGCAGCTCAGTTGTCCTGAACTGCACACAAGTGTTACGGCACCAGTCAGCACACCTGAATGTGCTTCTAATACAAATACATACATATATAAATACACACATTTGTTATCCATATATATGTACACACATGCCCACACACACCCCCACACACCTGTATTATGTTATGGCCAATTAGCTCTTGTAGGTTTTGAGCTGGGACCCAGTAATAGTCCTGACTGTTCTCCATTATTTTAACAAATTTATAYATGAGCTGACTTCCAAATATGCATATTTTAAAATAGATGCTTGTTCAGTGCTCAGCTGCTATTATATATGGTACTGATTATTGAAAACAATAATAATGAGGAAAGGTGGGGGCTGAGTTAATGCAAATACCCATTTTTGATCACTGAAACGTCCTTAAAATTTCTTTGCTCAATGATACAGATTGCTGCAGTCTGAGTGTCTATTTTTTACTGAAAGCCTTGCCCTTACCTTGAAAAGCTCTGCTCAGTGGAGATAAGTGGGAAGCTCTTCCATGATCTACCTGTTAAATTCTGTGGGTGTTAAATTCCATTAGGCATTTGGACAAAGGTTAGGCAAAATTAGGTGATTTAATACTGACTCTGGCAACGTCCAAGTCCCTGTGTGGGTCTGGCACCATCACGTGAGTCCCAAGCTGTGTTTTTGTTTCTGCAGCTCTCAAGGGGCTACCAAAATAGTCTTCTAACCAAGCCTTAGTAAAGCTGAGCAAGTTTCCCTGCCTGCAGCATTCCCGTGGGGGCTGCCCTGTTGGCAAGGGGGATTTAGGAGCATTGCACAACGCTGGTGGCTCAGGGCCCCTGGGTACTGTCCTAATCTGCCTCTTAAGCCTGGGGTCCTTGAGGGATCAATAGGAGCTAATTTTATCTTTTCCAGGTTTGTGCTGGATACTCCAGTTCTTTAGCTCACGGATTGACGCAACCCGTGCAGCTTGTCAGAGTCCTGCCTGCTGCTCCTCTGCAGCCTCTCCTGGTTTGCAAGGGCCTCGGATGCCCTCTGTGCCTTTGGCCTTGCTCAGTGGCTGCAGAGGCCAGTGGGGCTGGTGTCAGGCGGACAGGTCCTGAACTGGCTGCATGTGCAGCATGTGGCATCCAGAGAAGAACTGTCACCCTGTCCCCACGGCCTTTGTTCCCATGAGATAAGTTTATAGGGTTAGTGCAGTGAAGGCCTGACACCACGAGGATGGCCGCTCACCTTTGCCCAAGTGTCTTAGGGCAGTAGAAATGGGCACGACACTGTCAGGTCCCACCAGCAGCTCTGGCCCTCTCTGCAGGTATCTCTAGCTCAACAGCAAGGCAGGACTTAGCTCTCAATCTTGGCGTTACTGGCGCAGAGTCACAGCAGAAGRCTTCATACTTTGTACCCAATAGCCCTTGTCAGGGAGCCAGGCAAAGGGGAGGCTGGTTTTGTAGTTAATCCTTTAAAAGTGGCAGCAGCTTTTTAAGACATCCTGAAAATATGGAATTAGAACTTTTACAGTCTATTCTGAATTTCTGTTTCTCAGATCCTTGTCTGAATGTAGCAGATTTATAGGCATGCATCTTGTGGGCAGCTCAGTGTGTGTAGAACAGGTGGTGTTTTCCCAACACTGATGCCCTATGGTAATGTTCATGATGTGATCTAAAAGGCTGTATTTAATGTAAACACTCTGGTTTGCTTTCAGACTTGCTGCAGAGAAAAATTAAGGCTAGAATTTAGTAATTAGTACACAGAAGCTAAGACTTCCTTTCATGGAGTGCTGAGAGATGCAGCATGTTTGGAAGGGAAAGAGGATGAATATTAAATAGAACACTGTTTTAAAGCACTGTTTCTTCCTTGTTGTTCCAATGTTAATCTCTTGTCATAAATAGTGCGCTAATTTCTTGCTCTCTGAAGGCTCACTCTAAATCTGAAAATTAAAAATAACTTTGGTTTGAAAGGGGGAGATTTGGAAGTGGAATAAAACTCTGGCTTCATCTCAGAGAAATGTTCATCACCACACTGTGTTTAGCAGGGAGCAGTGAGTACGTGTCAGGCAGAAGTGATTTGATTTATTTTCATCCCAGAACAAAGAGATGAATTGAGTCCAGGCTCCTAAAATAAATCAGACCTGACCCAACTCTACTGTTTTCCTTCTAGCAAGAGCCAGTTGAATCATCTTTTGGGATTAATGGGCTCAATGATGTCACTTCTGACTATTTCCTGTCCTCCAGTATAAAAAATGAAGTTGACAGTACAGTGAACATTGTAGGTAAGTACTCCTGTGCTTTTCATATGGGCTAAGCATACAGGTGACTGAAAGTACACTTTTCTGAACTAGGTGGTACCAGAATAGCCCTTTGGCTGTGCTGATCTTTCCAGCAGCGTTTAGCACGTCGGGGAGCAACACAGTTGTGATCATGCCCACGCTTTCCGTGCTAGCCCAGCCTGTGCGAGRTGCTGGTTGCAGGACACGGCCCCACGGCCTCGCAGAGCTGATGAACCCACCACGGGGCTTCTCCCGAGGGCCGAGGCCTTGGCAGCCTTTTCATTCCGGTGGCCTTGCTGGCCCTGGCTCGCTGAGCTGGGAGCAGATTGTGCCCGGGCCACGTGGGAGGTGCATTGCAGCTGGATCACACTTTCCCGTTGCTCCAAGAAGGGCTGTGCATAGGGTGCCATTTGTGTGTGACTTTAAACATACATATGGAATGCAGGAACTCTCTTCTTTTTACTGGTACCTCAGTAGCAGCTGGTTCTTAACATCAGAGAGCTAACAGCAGAGATCACTGAAGACTGTATTTAGAAACTAGGAACACACTAGGAATTAGCTGTCATCTCAAGAGTGTGAATAGTTGGTTCTTGGTAGAATAATAGGGCTGTTTTTTGACAGCCTTTTTTTTTCTTTCTTTTTTTTCTTTTTTTTTTTTTTTTTGGGCTAAGGTTTTCATGGCAATGAGAGCTCCATGTGACCCATATACCACTTTCTCTAGATTTCCACTTTTCTGCATCTAGAGAAGGCACTTAAAAAGTATATTAATCTTGTGCTTGCAGATATTATGTGCAGTGACTATTTTCACTGTCCATTTCTTAGATCGCAGGGCTTTGTATAAAGTCCTTTTCTTCAAGTATTTTTATGGTTGAGATGTTTATGAGTACTTTTCTTCTCTTAATGGTAATTTATTTAACCATCCCTTGCTTTTCTAAGAATACTAGGTTGTGGGTTTTGCTCCCGCTATTATGGAGAGTTTTGTAACTTGAAGGAATAGTGAAGTATATTTCCTGACTCATAAATAAGTCTGAAATAGCCCAAGGCTAATACACAAACGAAGGGAAGAAGGAAGCTGCCTTCCCTGATGCTATGTTCTACTGCCTTAAAGTCAAACGGGGATCAATTAAAACCATCTTTAGAATGTATCCAGTGTTATGCAAAGCCACTAATGTCAGTTGAGAGTCATTTTGCTGCACACAGCAGACAAGTTTTCTGCAGTGCAGCATATCCTGAAATCCTGGTTTAATTTTATGATGACATAAATTACATGTTACACATTAGAAGATCTCAGTAATTTACAGCACAGGTCTCATAACAGCAATAGCAACATATGAAAATAGTCAAAGCTGTAATGTGAAAACCAAGCAGCATGTTCAGAGGAGCAGAGCTGAATTTGTACCCTACAGACTCAGACTTTTTGGAGAAAAGTCTGGCTAACTTCTCCATTTGTCCTTTCGATAGGCTCCAAATCCACTTTTAGGAGCAGAATGACAGAATTGGGTTTGYAACTGTGATCCTCTGTTGTGTAATTAATGGCTTATGAAGTGCAGTGCTTATCCAAACTGAAGAGAGAGAACTTTATTTAGCGCTAATAGATGAAGAATTTCTGCAGAAATGAGGAAAGTCAGGTGGAGGGAGGAAGAACAGAAGCAGCACCTGCAATGCTTTTGGACATAGTACAGTTTAAGGAAAAGCTGTTGCATTTGGTCCAGGTGAGCAGTATCTTTTGCTGCACTGAAATTGTCTCTAGGGGTGGTAGGAATTTTGCAGGCACTGAGGAGAAAGGTGAGAAGATGACCTGCTCGTGCAGCAGGGTGGGAGGCGGCGTTTCCTCCCCGCTCAGTAAAAAGCAGAATGTTTCAAAACCAGGAAAGAATTGGTTATGGTGGAGGTGAAATGTCTAGGGCAAAATGGTAGTAGTTGTTGTGATAGGGCTTCTTGGGGGGGAAAAAAAAAAAAAAGGAAAGAAAAGAAAAAAAGATTGTGGAGTGTCTGTGTAATTTTCTTTTGTGGAATTGCACATTTTGGTGGWAATACACATCCAGGTTTGGAGGGGTTTCCAGTCGTTACCTGACAGTTCACAAAAACAAAATGCCATGCAGCTTTTTCCTGGGAGACAAACATGTTGGTCTTCCTTTTCAAAAAGTTTTGTTCTAGCCTAGTTTAAAAATAACAAGGCAGGAGGAATGGTTTGTGTACATATGCATGTGTATTCATATATACTTATCTTAGCTTGTTCAGGGAAAGATCATATCTTTTATTTTTCTTTAAATCTTTTTAGTAATAATCAGAAGTAGGTCATATAATAGAAGATTTTCTGTGTTTCACTGCCTGCGTTTTTCTATATCATTGGTACAGAAAGAATATTCTGTCTGAGTTTCTAATGGCTCAGTGCTGTATAGTTTGGTGGATTAATTATCCTCTCCTTTGAAACATCCAATATTGGCCATGTCCAAAATCAGATCACCAAGTGGGATGAACAGTTGTCTGCTACCAAGTGGATGTGCCAGAAAATCTAGCAGAGTAGAGCCTGTGCAAAAATTAAAGTCTGCAATGGCATTCATCATTGCATAGTATTTTTTAAGACTAACAACAGTCCACAACATGCAAATGCACCTGAACCTGTTTCTGTAGCACAAAACCTTTCCAACTCTTGTTGAAACTGGTAGGAATTTGCCAGTATGAAGGCTGCTTCTCTTGGCGCTTTATGTTCCAGGGAAAGAATATCTGCAGCTCTTCCTTTTCCCTTGGGAAGCCGTGTGTTCCGGTTAGTCATCCTGCGAGGTGGCACCGTGCCCGTGCGCTCGTCCTGTTCAGCTGGTGGYGTTCGGCATTAGTGCAGTTGTCGTGTTCCTATGGCTGGAGTTAAAAAATGGAGCTCTGCAGCACAGACTCTCACAGCTGCTTTAAGCAGAGAGATCTCTGAGGAGATCTGAGGTTCTGGCTTTCAGCGTAGTTTTGCCTTGTCCATTAACATGCTCGTACCTCGGGGTATTCACTGCTTCAGGAAGGTGTTGGGCAGCGCAATTAATGCCTGGGAAGTGTTTTGGAACATGTGCAAAGCACCTATGCTGCCTTCACTTCACTGAAATAAATAACATTAATTTGGTCTTAACCATCAGGTGCCTGGCAGCATAGGAAAATCCTCTGTTAATACCTAACCAGGCTGTAGCTTTCAGTGACAGGCCATGGGCATTGCAGACTGTGGGTATGACCATATTTTTCTGCCTGCTGTCACTGGCACTGCAAGGATTTGTGACAACAAGCGTCTGATTGGAGGAAAACTCTTGGCAGACCCCTGTCATGCATAAACCAGCGTTCCGGGATGTATTATGTGGCCGTTTGTTTGCATGCCAGCTCTGGCCCATTTGGCCTTACGGTGCCTAGTTCACCTCAGAGCGCTCGGAGACCACGGGATGTGGGCAACTTCACGGGCTCAGAGAATGGGTGAGGTTGGCAGGGACCTCTGGGGATCTTCTAGTCCAACCAGCCTGCTCAAGCAGGGACACCTAGAGCACGTGGCACAGGGTCACGTCCAGGTGGGTACGGATGACACTCTCTAGGATTTRGAGGGGGAATTTGCAGTCACATAGTTCAAAAGCTCACTGGTCCCAGCAAGTGGTGTTCTGGGCAGGCTGGAGCTTGGCTTGCCAAGCTCTTTATGTCCTGGTCAGTCTTCATTTCTGAGTGAAAGAGCGTGGCTGTGAGCATTCCTGTGAAAGCATCTGGGCAGCTGGTGTGTTGTGGCAAAGGACACATTTGCTAGAAGAGCCAGTGGAGAGTTAGGCACTTCTCGTGGTCAGAAGTGGAAAGAAATGTTTTTGAAGGTGTTGGAAACTAAATAAATCACATAGGTTTCCTTTAGAAGTGCATTTAAAGGCTCCGTGTTATTCAAGCAGCAACCAGTCCTCAAGGATAAGTAATCAGAGGTTCTACAGGATATTATAATGATACAAAATATTATAAATAATGCATTTTTGTTTCTAATCCCCAGTTGTAGGACAGCCGCACTTTGATGGCAGCAGCGAGGAGCAGATGATAGTTACCAACCCCCCTGATGTTTGCCAGGTGGTAGAGGTGACAACAGAAAGTGATGAACAACCCCTCAGCATGAGCCAGCTCTACCCCCTACAGATCTCCCCTGTCTCGTCCTATGCAGGTAAGCATCCTTATTGTAACTTACAGACTTTGGGGAAAATTTTTGGAAGAWACAGCCTGATAGGGAATGGCAGGCTAGGAAGCAGGGGTCTCCACTGGGGAAAAGGGTTTTTTTCCAGAGTACTGGCAGAAATTCAGAAATGTCTGTTCTGTGAACATTCTTATTTTTAATGAAACTTGAAAAGTCATAATCTTTTTCTATTCAACTTTATTTTTACATGATCTGAAGATGGAAACATGCTGTAGTTTTTAGTCTTTGCCTAATGGAAAGGAAACCTTTTTTAGATATATTACAGAGAGGTCTTTTCATTTTTTTTTTAGAGGGGCATTTTAGATGGTACTAATGATATCCTGCAAATAATATTTTGTCCCGCTTGCACCCCAAGTTACTAAAGATGAAAGATCTCTGCTGTGTGTCCCCTTGGTGCCTAGCACCGTGGTTGCAGAGTGCTAGGGGCTGCATTAGTGATCCATAGGGCAAATATGGAGCTGAGGGGCCTGGCACACAGCATCTGTGTTGTGCAAACAGTCGGCAGACGAGAACAGCCGCGTAGGGACTGATAACAAGCGCTCCTGTGAACTGCAGAGCTGAGGAAGTCTGGCTTCTAACTTCTGTCTCCCATCTGGATTCTCTGATTTCTAAGAAGACGTGAGAGAACAAGCCGTAACAAGTCAGAGTACTAATGGGTTGTCTTCTTTATCTGCTCCCTTATTTTCATAGAATTGGTAAGAGTTAAGAGTTTTTGGCACTTATTTGTCCCACTTCCAAATCTGAAAATTTTCGGAAGCTGTTAGGGGAGAACAGACACAATTGAACATATGGGCAAAATACATAGAGCCCCTGAAATCATAGAAACCTTATTTCCCTAGGAAGCAAGGGAAGCCCACATTTGAAAGTAGAAAAAATATCAGATCCAACTTCACCTTCATTTTTTAGCATGTTGCTGACTTACAACCTTCAGGAGACTGGAATAGAAACAGAAGTGTCATCTTTTTAGACCAACTTGAATATTAATTTGTTCCTTGAGAGATTTATTGTTTTACACATGGTTTTGCTCTTGAATCATTAGGCTCAAATTACTTCCAGGCACATTTTTATAAAGTACATATATAAGAATTTTTATCTTTAGGCCAGGATGAGTAGTGTGATGTTCTTTTGTATTGCCTCCAGTGTTGGTCTGACACGTGTTGATATATCATCCTGCTTCCCAATGTGTTTAGTCTGTAACGGCCAGAGCTGCTAGAAGGGTTTCCAGAGCAAGGCAGGGTGGGGTAGGGGGTGAGAGATGCTTTAACTTATTAGCAGTGGGAGATGGGGCTTTGGAAACGTTTGTTCTTTTACCAAATGCTTCCTGGAACACTTTTTCTGTGTGTGTGAAGGCAGTAATAGTGTGTTAAGCTCAGCTTAGATCTGAATTAGATCTGAATACTTGGAAGGCAAATAAAAGTCAATACCAAGGTCAAGGAGTCAGGGTAGTTGTTGCTTAGGCTGTAACAATATAGTGGGGTGACCTGGTGACAGGAGAAACACCCTGATATGCACAAGTCCTGCCCTTCCTCCACTGCAGCCAGCAAAGCAAACCTACATAGGGAAATGCAACATGACTGTGACTGAAGTATTTTTGTTTTCCCTTGATGTTATCTTACTATTTTGCTGGCTTCAGCTGACATAACTTAATGTCAGGAGCTGCTAACCCATCGCTGGGATGGAACAGACATGACTTTATGCTGCTGATATGCCTTTGAATGCATTTCAAGACAGTTCTTGAGGATCCCGGGGACTCTAGCTGAAGGTCAGTTAGAAGTGGAGTACCGCAAAGGATTTATCCTGGGATATGTCCTGGTTAACATCTTTGTTAATGACCAGAGAAGTGAGGGAGAGCGCACTTACGAAATTTGCAGTTGACATTAAATTGGAGGCACCAGCTGATAAGCTCAAGGCCAGGGCTGCTGTCCAGAGGGACCTGGGGAGGCTGCAGGAATGAGTCAGCAGGAACATTATGAAGTTCAGCAAGGACAGATACAAAGGCTTGTGCCTGGGAAGGGAGAGCCCCATGCACTGATTCAGGCTGGGGCTGTCAGCTCTGCAGAARAAGTTCTTGGAGGTCCTGGTGGGCGGGAAGCTGAATGTGAGCCAGAAATGCACCCTGGCAGCAAAGGCCGACAGCCTCTGGGGCTGAATTAACAGGAGTGCAACCAGTAGATGGAGAGAAGTTACTATTGCCCTCTGTTCAACTCTTGTTAGACCACATCTGGAATACTGTAGCCAGTTCTGGGCCCCTCGATGCAAGACAGATMTCAACAAACTGAAGCACATTCTGGAAGGGGCCACCACGATGGTGGGTCTGGACACTCGCCATGYGAGAAGAGGCTCAGGGATTTGGGACCTGTTCAGTGTGGAGGACAGAGGGCTTCAAGAGGGTCCAACAACAGCCTGCCCAGACCTACAAGGCTGTCAGGAAGATAATCAGGCTCTTCATGGTGGTGCACAGTGAGAGGATGAGTAGAAAAGAGAYGTGAATAGAAACAAGAGAAGATTCGACAGGATGGAAGAAATGCTTTTTCGCCATGAGGACAGTCAGACAGTGAAACAAGTTGCCCAGAGAGTTTGTACTCTTTCCATTCTTGCAAAACCCTGCCCAGATAAGACCCTGAGCAACTTGGCCTGATCTCACAGCTGTCCCTGTTTTTAGCAGGAGGTTGTACTAGAGACTTCCAAAGGTCCCTTTCCCCATAAATTGGTCTTTGAGCTTCCTTTTTTTTAGAGCAAGCATTTGACTTTCAGGGCAGGAGTTGAGGATGGGGGTCTGCACAGTTTAATATAAACCTGAAATTTGTAACACACTTGGGACTGTTTCTGGTGTTACCTTGCTGGGTGGAATTGCCTACTCTCTTAGGTGCTGTTTCTAAATGGGAGGAAAGAGTWGGGCCATAACAGCTGTGCAGGAACAGTTAGTTCAGCTTTTCTGAAACAAAAAGAAAGTAACCTGAGGTGTATCAGCTCAGCTGTCCTACATAAATCTGTTTTATTTCAAAAACATCTCTTGTTCCTTTCTGAAGCAGCTCAGGCAAATGATATGAGTGGCCCATATGAGTTTCCTTGTACTTCCAGTGAAGTCTATGAAATCTTCTTTTTTTTCCCCACTTAAGTCTATGATATTTTTCTTCCTTTTCTGATCAGCTTCACCTGGTGTTTGACAGTGTTTCAAACGGCCTCACTAACTTTCCATGCCGGAGTGGCCAGCTTCCCTGTCTCTGCTAACTGTAGTGGTGTCTCTTGCTCAGCATTTTGTTATGTATAATTGGATTCCTTTTCATCTGCATCAGCCTTTTCTGTTGCCACATGTTTCTTCATGTCCAGAAGTATCTGCTTCTTGTCTCTCTGTGAATTCCTGCTATTGATTCTATCTCCAGGGCCATTTCTCCTTTCATACTGATTACTTTCTGCCTTTTCCCTCCCTCCCCATAGTTTGTCTCCTTTAGCCAACTTTATCACCTTGTCACATCTCTCTTTATCTAGTCCAGTGCACTCAGAGTGTGACTTTACGGGGCTTCACAGTTAGATTTAATGTTTCAGGCAGCTCCTCTGCTTACTGCATGCTATAATTGAGACCCTGAATAGTGGAGGTGCTGGGTTTGGAAACACAGCTCTTCAGTAGTTGCAATGATGGACAAGGTGACCGTGAGCCAGCAACGTGCCCTYGCAGCAAAGAAGGCCCAAGAAAACAGAGCTGAAGTCTTCTCAGTGGTGCCCAGTGCCAGAAAAAGAGGCAACAGGCACAACCTGAAACACAGGAAATTTCGTCTGAATATACGATCAAAATGTTTTGCTGTGAGAGGGACAGAGCACTGGGACAGGCTGCCCAGAGATGTGGAGTCTTCTTCTCTGGAGACCTTCAAAACCCTCTTGGACACAATCTCGTGCCACATGCTCTAGGCAACCCCGCTTGAGCAGAGGGGTTGGACTAGGTGGTCTCCAGAGGTCCCTGCCAACCTGTCTGTGAGGGTGGGAATGAGGCACAGTGGGCAGGAGCTTGGGTTGGGAAGTGCTATTGAGAGGCTGCTGGGGCAGCAAGTGCTCAGGAGGGGATAGGCCCTACGTTATGGAAAGGAGGAGCGTGCGTGTGTGGTTGTCCTCTGGCACCGGTGAGCAGTGTGCCCAGAGCTGTGGCACTCAGGAGTTAACAGCTCCTSTATGTGTTGGAGTGGGGTGGAGCGTTGAGAAATATGCTGGGAGACCGGGCAAGGGTGGCGGAAACCGAAACGAGAGCAAGGTATAACAGTAATAAAATGCAAGACGTGACAACAAGCCCTTGAGGCAGCCAGCTGAGATAACAGTTCATGAAACAAAAACACATTTATCTCCTCTGGGGTGGAGTTGCTGCTTATTTTGCAGGGAGATAAAAATATGGACTTGGAAAGGACTTTACTTATAGCCGGGCCTCAAGCTGCCGAGAGAGGATAAGGCAGAGGGGACATTCCCTGCTTGTTGGACTCTGTCTGGGACAGAGATCTCCCTTCAGCACAGAAATATAAGCTATAATCCACTTCTCCCACCACCTCCACTGCTGTCTTTTCCATATCCATGTTGGCTCTGGTAAYCAGATGAATTTCCCTAAATGTTCAGTGAAGCTGTGTTGCCCAGCCCCCAGATTACTGTGACAGAGGGTCCGTGCTTTCCTGGTGTTTTCTGATTATTTGCCTTGACTTGATTGCACTTGTTCGAAGTGGATCACGCCTCTTTAGATGGATTTTTTTTGCTACTGTAGATGGAATAACATGAGTTTCATTTTTGCTTGTGTTTTGTTTGACAGAAAGTGAAACGACTGACAGCGTTCCAAGCGATGAAGAAAACACAGAGGTAAGTGTGTTCTGGACTGCTAGCACTTTGGGCAAATTCTCAGAAATTAGGTCCCGAGTTACCCTTTACACTTCACATTTGCAAACGTGGCCACCAGTGCAGCGTTCATTTCAGTAATAGCTGAGGGAGAAAATCAAACTAGGAAGGTTCAAGGAAAACAAATGTTTGAATGATTTTTTTCTAGTGGAGTGGATGTCCATGTGACTTCCTCCTGATCTGTGAAAAATACAAGCAGATTAATTACAGAATCATAGAATTCACGCGAGGAAACATATTCTGGAGAACCAGAACATCAGTGTCAGCTAGTTTGTTAACAGGGAGCAAGCCAGTGGGCTCTGTCATGTGCATGTAAGTGTGCATATGCTGAGCCTTTGTATATTGACCGTGTTGGGCAGTGAGTGTTGTGCCTTTGTTGCAAGCACACTCCTTTTGCTTCCTAAAGTGGCACGTGCACTTGCATAATGGGAGCAAATGGCTCCACGTGTGATACTCAAGTCGGATACTGAGGTATGTGAGGCAAAAAGCTTTCCTGAAACGTCAGTTGGGTACTGCTGACTGAAAGGAATCCATGGAGAAAGTACTTAYTCACCCAATGGATGGTTTTTGAAGCTGTGCCTTTGCAAAAGTGGCAGCCACCTTTTATTTTCAGTCATCCACCAGATGACTAGAGCTGTCAGTCTGCATGGATATGTAGGGGCTGGGGGAAGCTCCCTGCAGACTGGACTCAAGCTCTCGGGCTCCCTGTGCTACAAATGCCTTTTTGCAAAGGGCCTGCTGCAAATCCCTCGCCCCCCATGTCACTCAGAAACCCTTCTGGATGGTTCTCCTTGGAGACCTGCACGTTGCACGGTTGGGTCACTGTGTAACCCTCGGGGTTTATCCCTAACCATGTCTTGGTTAGGGTGCAGCCAGCGTGCACRCTGTCAGCAAAGGCCTTTTCAGTGGCTGTCACATCACTGCAGGGGACACCAAGCTAGGTCTAGAGAGGGTAGGTTGGCACTCAGCATCTGCAGCCTGCTACCAGAGCAGTTTTAACAGCTTTTCTTCCTGGTGCAGTTTTAATAACAGCCTTTATTCCCAGAGGACTGCATAGGATGTAAGTTTTTCTTGCTTCCATGGGCAAATTGAGCTCAGTGAGGCCCCCTGGGAGGGTTTGTACAGCCAGGAGGAGAGGGGGACTGGGAATCTTGTTGCTCGCTTGTGACTGAGGCCGTGAGTCCCCTGGCCTCACACGTGCAGTGAGGACCCGGCTTGGGCAGCATGTGCTGTTGTGGCAAGTGTGCTGGAGAAGGCAGCAGATGCTCTTTGCCTGGCAGACCTACCCCGTCACAGTGGATGTCCTGTCAGGGGACTGGCTTTCCCAGCAGTCTCACTTGCAGCTGGTGGACTTGATGCTGCCAGTTTTAGGTGGTGCTGCTTGAGGTGTGTGAAGTCTCCGTGGGCTGTCCTTTGGCAGGATGCTGTTCTCTCTGGTAATGGAGGAAACTTTTCCATTGGAAGCTCTGTGCTTTTAGACGTCTGTGTCCGTTTCAGTYCTCAGCATCCTGAGAATAAGGCCTTCCTTTTCCATCAGGAGAGCAGGCAGGGTCTCTTGAATGCTGGAGAGCCAACAAAGGTGAGACACGGGACTTAGAAAGGGAGAGGTGGCTGAGAGCAGACGGACAAAGCCAGCAGCTCAAGGCTCAGCTGCAGTGACAGGGAAACCACTGTGCAATGTGTGGATGTTCCTTTCTTCAGCTGGTTCCTTGGAGCACTTTGCCAAGCCACGTTCACTCCCATAATATTTCTTCCTTCTTTTTCTCCCCCCTTCTGTAGGGACGACTTCATTGGCAGAAGAAAAACATTGAAGGCAAACAGTATCTGAGCAATCTGGGAATGAGGAACACTTCTCATATGCTTCCCAGCATGGCTACTTTTGTGGCCAACAAGCCTGACCTCCAGGTCACCATCAAAGAAGAAAGCTGCCCACTGCCTTACAACAGCTCCTGGCCCCCTTTCCCAGACCTCCCCCTGTCACAAGTTGTGTCCACAGCCTCCACCAGCAGCAGCCGACCGGACCGCGAGACACGGGCCAGTGTCATCAAGAAGACGTCAGACATCACCCAGTCGAGAGTCAAGAGCTGCTAAGCCTTTGGCCGTGTGTTTTTTTAGCTTTGTTTGGTTTTGTATTTTATGTTTCTCTAGGAGAGGTTCATCCCTTGACGCACATTACACAAATCTAAGGTGAAGCCTTGGCAATACAGAACATTGCTGTGTCCGACTCCGGTGCCGGAGTGTTTTAACTCAGGACTCCAGCCGTCAGTACGTACACCCAAACCCCGATGGGCTTCCAAGGTTACAACGTAGGAAACAAAACAAGGACTTTGGCCCACTTGCAGGTTCCAGTGCTTCATGAGAGGACCAACTGACCACAAGGGAAGTGGTGCTGCTGCGCTTCTTGCTGTCAAGGCTCTGATGGAACTGAAAGCCTCAGAATGGAAGAGAAAATGTGAACTAGCTGGAATATTTTTAAATAAAAAAAAATCTATTGTGAATATTGTACATAGTGCAGTACTAGCAACGTTGCAGTCTGCTTCTGCACCTTATTAAGAAAGCACTTACGAAAAGCCTTTTATTACCTTGCTCTAATTAATGGCACATTGAAGGTCCCTCCCCACCTGTGTTCTTTTCCAAGGCTATTCTTGCTAAAGTGTCTTTAAAGAATAGAGGAAAGGAAAAGAAGGCAGAACTTCCCATGTGGATTGCATACATTTTAAGACTGCTTTTCTCATGTTTGTTTCTAATCTGCTATGCTTGAATGCCGCGTGGTACAATAGGAAGAAAAAAAAAACTATTACAGAGATATTATGCAAATTCCCAGATTTAAAAAAGAAGAAGAAAAATACTCTAATTCTAACCAGAGCAAGCTTTTTTATTTTTTATACAGGGGAATATTTTATTCAAAGTAAAATTCTAAAGTGAATATAATTTTTTTTAATCTTTTCTACAGCAAATTTATAATTTTAAGATTCAGTCCTTGGTTATCAGCAGTTATTACATCCTTGTGGCACATTTTTTTTTTAATTTTGTAAAGGTGAAATAGCTTTTATGAGCTCATGTAGCAATCAGATTATCCTGTGGATTGATAATAAATATGGTATATAGTTAAATTTTTAATAATCCTCTTGTTTGTCTCTCTTCTTTAATCTTCCAGAAGCCCCAGCTGGTTTGATAGGTGAATGTGACCTCTCAGAGTGAACAATTAGCATGACCCTTCTTTATGATTTCTACAGTAGCCATCTAACAAAATGGGAAGTACTCTGCTCGAGGCAGCTCGGCAGAGGTGGAAAGGGGAACTAGAGCTTACAGGCGACATAGACAAGTTTGGCCTCAAGTGCAGCAGACTGGGAGTTGGGAAACCTCTTCTGCTGTTACTCTATGGTTGGGTCTTGGGCAGTCATTTCATGGGAAGGGTCTCAAGAAACCATTTAGTCCCTGCTCAGCCCAGAGTGTGCCCCATTTCTGGTAGATATTTGTTTAGCCTGCTCTCAGTTTCCTTGTCTGAAAGATTCTCTTTTTACAGAGTTCCAAGCAATAACTCCTTATTAATGGATTAAATCAGAAGTCAAGCAAACATGCTTGGAGTAAGTATTCGCCAAGGCTGCAGCATCCTAAGCATGGTGGCAAGCTCTGATTCCTKTGGGTCTTTGAGGAAAGCTCTTGAGTATCCAAATATGGGTGCGAGGTGGCTCATGTGGTGGTGGAGGGTGAGCATTGGCACTGGCATTGGTAGAACTGAGACCACTTGGCATCTTGCGTCTTTTTTCAGGCTGTTGGTAGCTAAAGGGAGCCATCAAGATATGCAAACTACTTGGGTTCAAAGTGTTCTTCAGATGCAGTTATCATTCTAGAGTGGTAGGTGAGCTGCATACCAGGGGCCACGTGTGCTTGGCTGGTAGGCTGCAGTAGACACAAAATGTCTGTCAGGCTGCACTTGACCACCCAACTCTCTTTATTGCCTCACCTAGCCCACCTGAGGTGAAGACAAAGCCAGGCTCAAGCCCAGGGAACTGGTTTCACCAGATCCATTCAGAACCTTTACCAAGAAAAGACAAAAAAAAAAAAAAAAAMAGAAAAAAAAACTCTATACAAAAGCAAACTTCCTGGCTGATGTTATTTGAAGAGTATTGAGTCTTTGAACAGAGCAGGGTTCCTGGTCTGGAGCTCAATGCCAGCTAAGATTACAGATAGGTTAGACCTGGGAGATGCGACTGGAGTGTGGCAGGAAAACACCTGCCAAGGGAAAATCGAGGCTGGAAGAATATCCTCAAAGGAATTGTGTTATTGTGGGGAAGGGGAGATGGGGGGCCTTATTGAAGACTTGCTGTAGGATTAGAGATAAGGAGAAGAGAAAGTCCAGAGCTACAGCTGTACTGTGGCTAGGAAGGACGAGACAAAGTAACTGGAGGGCTCATGCTCCAATTGTCTCCTTGGGAAGATTTATTGTGGAARAAATAAAGGGCCTGGAGTGGGATGGACCCTAGGCTTAGGGCTAGGGCAAAGAGAAAGCCCAGTTGCGTGGCGCTGGAAAGTATCATGTAATATAAACCAAGAGCTGACATTCAGATTTTCCTCTGAGGAATATTTAGTCTCTGGGTGGAGTGGGCCCTCTTGCTTCTGGCTCAGCCTGGATTTAGCGTTAGGATTTAGAGTTAAGGTTGAGAGAAAGTCCAGAGGATATGGTAGTGTGGGGGCTGGAAAGCATCTTCTAAAGTAAACAGGGAGCTGACTAGATTTCTGCTCTTCCGAAAGCCGGGTTTCTGTTTACTTCAGCGGTGGCCTGCTCTTCCCTCACAATTCAGTTTGTCTGTGTAAAATGCTGGCCCATCTCTGCAGTCTTACAAGCAAATTAGATGATAGTATCATGTGGATGGCGCATTGCAAAGAAGTGTGGACTCTCCTCACTTACAGCAGACTTAACCTCCCTGCCCTTAATGGGCATCACTTGTCTTTTGGGGTCATGTTTTGGATATCCCCAAGGATGGGGACTGTGGTCCTGTTCAGGGCTCAGAGCTTCCAAAGTGACAGGGATGCAGAGGGACACAGACAGAGGGTCATGTGTAGAGCGTGGTGGCACATGGCATTTTCATAAGGGAGTTGTATACTTGTATAGAGAAGATGAATTATAAACTAAGCAAGCAAGGGGAGCTAGAGACAGTCTGTTCAGATGGTGTCTGGCATTTGATCAGAAGAGCTAAGCCCAAGCATACTCAGTTTCTGTGCAGTTTTGTGAGTTAAGGAACTTGAATGGATTGTTTGTGATTTGGGCATGGCAGAAAGCTGCTTTAAGCCTCCCACCAAGGCAGAATCATCCTTGGATGGAAGAAGTGAACGAGTACACGAAAAAACAGAATAGTTGCCCCAAGCAAAAGTGTATCCAGGTGTGTTGATGAGTCACATAACGTTGGAAACCAGGTTCTTCCTGGGGTTCGGGACTGCCGTGCCGACGTCCTCCTGGAGCCGGCACGATGGGCGTGTGCAAACAGGCCCCGATCCCGTTCCAGGTGCTGGCGGGCGAGTGGGCAGGACCCGCATCCTGCTGGAGCTCCCGTGTGGGAGGCCGAGGCGGCGGCCGCGCTCCTGCTGCTCCTGCTCCTCCTGCTCCTGCTGCTCCTTGTGCTCCTGGACAAGGCCTGGCCTGCGGYCTCTCCAGCTCGAGCTTGCAGGAGGGCTTCCTCCTCTGCGGCAGCGCCAACAGGTGCAGGGTTTTTGTGTCAACAATGATGAAAATAGTTCTTGGGAGGAAGGAAACGGCAGGGCCTGCAGCTACTCCCGCCGCAGGCAGCGTTTTGCCTAGTGCCCTGTTCATTTTCTGAGGAGATGCAGAGTTGCAGCGATGCCACATTTGGGCTCCCTAAAGCTCATGTTGTGGGCTTGGTGACGGGCGTGCTGCTGTGCTTGGCAGCTCCAAGGGCACCGGCAGAGGCAGCGGAAGTCCTGTTCACGTTCGGGTGGTTGTTTTTTGGCGGGTGGCTGGTGACACGCAGATCCTTTGGGCCACTTCTGCTCTCAGTTACGCCGTCGTAGCCTGAATAATTCAGCAGCAGCAGCTCAGAGGTGCGCAACCCCCAGCTGCAGCTCCGCGTGCGGCTATTTTTATACTAGTGTGAAGACCGAAACACTGAAAGAAAGTGGGTCCTTTTATCTTTCACAGGATAACATTGGCCATGAGATTGTGAAGAGGAGCTGGGTTTATTATTTTTTCTTAAATTTTGCAACGACTAACATATTTCAGACGCCAGTGCTATAGTTTCGTTCTGGAGSATTCGTGATAGAGCTGCCTTCAAATTCCACTGTTTGTTTAATGATTTCTCAGCTGATTTATACACATTATTATGSCCTTTGAAACAAGGATGGCTTGTGAAAACTTAGTGCCTTTGCAYGTTTTTTTTCCTGACTCTTCCTTTGGAGAATGTCCCTGTTAGCACRTTCAAAGCCAGCGCGCACAGCGGCTTTGCTGGGACGCTGTATTAACCCCTTGGTGTTCTTGCTGCTGAAGCTTAGCAGAGCAGCAGAAACCCGCCGGCTGTGGCGGGTGTTTGCTGCAACACATGCTTTTGCATGTGCTCCGTTAAAGATGTTATCTCTCACCATCGATGTTTTCAAGTTTCAGTTTTCAGTAGTATTTTTGCTCTCAGGCATTTTTTTCTTTTTTTTTCAAAGAACTRAAAAAAAAGCCCTCACCCAACCCACTGTAGTATTTTAAAGCTCGTTTTTTGTTCCAGTCACATGCGACAAGGCGAATGCCTGGCTGAAGCAGCCGTCTGGATATCTCTCCGAACGCAGCTCTCTTAAGGGCAGGAAAACATTGACATGTAAATATTGACGCAGATTTGTTTCTGATGCAAGCCTCGTGGGCYTAAAAATGCTAAAATAGATGTGCAATAAAATCCATGCCAGAAGARCTGTTCTTACCTCTAGTAGTGTTGTGGCGGCTTTGCCTAATGTTAAAAACAAGCTGGCGAAGGAGCCAACACTTGAGCTCATGGGAAGCCACAACGTTCCCATTCTGCCGCCTCAGTGTCGTCCAGAAATTCCTAGATACGAGCACAGGAAGCAGGTGAATAACAGTCACCAGCCACCACGTTAATCGGCTTCATTTCTGTACGTTCTGCCCTAGCAGCAGCAAAGCAAGGCGCTGACGAGCTGCCTTGTGCAGGGCTTTAACCCCGGAGCGTTCATCCCGGTTGCTCCTTGGGGCTGCCGTGGACACGGCATTCCGGCAGGGCCTGCGTGGGGATGAGTGCCCCGCACGCGGCTTTCCTAGAGGCTGCTTCTCCCCGGCTTTCCGCGGCCCGGGCACACACGGCGTGACTCATCCTGGCGTTTGTGCTTTCCTCGGCTTCCTTTGGCATCTGCCAGGTGTCGCGAGGGGAGGACTGGGAGATTCCTGTGGAGCTTCAAGGCCGGGTGATGCCACGAGGCGGTGCGTTTTGGGAGCGTGTTGCTATGTCTCTAGCAACTGTTGTTTAGAAACGGGAGTGTTTTGGTACTGCGTGGAGACTTGATGAGCTTCCTTCTTTCCAGGGAGAGGGGCAGAACAAAACTTACAGGAAAAGTGCAACTTAAGATCATGAGTAGAGCTAATATATGTGTGCCCTCTTCAGTAGTCTTTCACAGCGCTCTTCAGGAATGAAACAAATATCAGTGCAAACTTCTTTTTAGGAAGGAAGGGAGGAAGGGAGGAAGGGAGGAAGGGAGGAAGATCTCTTTAGGCTAGATTCTCCAGAGCTTGATGATCAACTCTGCCATTCACAGCCCTCTCTGCCTGCCTGGTCACAGGAAGGCTCATCCTTGCTGAGTCCCTACAGCCAGTGTTAGGTGCCACGGAGCATCCCAGGCTGGCGCATCCCTCCAGCACCAGTTTCCACCCGGAGCAGCACCTGGAAAATGTAAGCTGCTTGCCCAAACCGGAGCAGTGCGCTTTGTAGTGTGGAGTTTTGATTAAATCTGTTAGGTTTCTGCCTGGGTAAAGACTTTAAAAGCAGACAGATGATACTAAATCAAGGTCACTGAAAGCTGAGCTACTGGGACAAGTTCCTCCATCTCATTGATCTGCTCTAACTGTCTGCAGCAAATGCTAACTTGAGGTAATGTAGTCTTGATGA